TCTTCACTGCGGCCAAGAGCTAAAAGTTTGAAGGAAAGCGTAATAATAATAATTTGCTAGTGCAGTCATGCCAGACACATCACACATGAGTATCTGTAGAGGACAACGTTAGGCTTTAAGCTAAGGACACGAAACGATTTTTAGAGATAGGAATTTCTAAGATATTGCAAGTTATTTAGATCTATAAATTCAGTCACATAGTATAAAATTAGTCAGAATAACAACCACACTTTAGCAAACGATGACACCATGCGTTGTAGCGGTAAAAGGAGACTTTTAAGTGGAAACGTTTGTTCGAAAAACAAAAAGAACCTTCACGATTTCCGAGCTTAAAGATAAAACAAACTATAATTTTTTAGGGGGGGCCCAAATTTCCGAAGGGGAGGCCACATTTCCTAGGAAATATGGCCCGGGGGGGCAAATTTCCTAGGAAATTTGGCCCGGGGTGCCAAATTTTCGGGGGGGGGGGGCAAATTTCCTGCGACACCGGGTTCAATGAAGTGTGAAGTATGTTGATCAATTGAAATAAGTTGCATTTCCTGATCTAACAAAATTGCTTGGTACAAATTGTATGAAACTCCATGCATGTTTAGACAAAAAAAAATGTTGTTTAATGCTATTAATCGTCTTCTTCCACTACATAACTTCTATAGCGCGTTCCTAATTTCGTTTAAACAATGTTTAAAGTTAGATAAACAGCCCCTCAACTGCAATTCCAGTGCAACTTCACTGCTTTCGATCGCGTTCGAAATTTATAGAAACTCGCTGCGATTTTTCAAAAAGATGTGAACAAAATACTACTGTGCTTTCCTTCAACGGCAGGCGTTGGCACCTTCAATAAAGGCATTTATCAAAGCCAAGCAACATAAACTTATAATATCTAAAATTCTTCACTTTCACGCTGTTTTTAAAAGCAATATCGCTCAGGTAAATCTACTGTAAATGTAGTTAACTAACAAAAACATATGTGAATAGGGAAATTAATTCTATTTCAGAACCATCCTCAGAGATACGAAAAACTAGTTTCATATTAATCTGACACTGCAATCGAGCAACAAAAAATTCGTTGGCTCGAGCGGGATTTGAACTCCATCTTCGGGTATCTAGACCGCCGCTCTACCTATTGAGCTATCGAGTCAACAAGCGTTAAGTCGTCACGAAAATATTTCGTGCACTTAAATTGGATAAGACTCGCTACCAATCCCTGTTGACTCGACCGGTAGAGCGGCGGTCTAGATACCCGAAGATGCGAGTTCAAATCCCGCTCGAGCCAACGAATTTTTCGTTGCTCGATTGCAGTGTCAGATTAATATGAAACTAGTTTTTCGTGTCTCTGAGGTCGAGGATGGTGCTGAAATAGAATTGAAACACCGCGCGTCCACTAAAACAAGCGTTAAGTCGTTACGAAAATATTTCGTGCACTTAAATTGGATAAGACTCACTACCAATCCCTGTTGACTCGATAGCTCAATAGGATTGCAGTGTCAGATTAATAGGGAAATTAATGTATATAAATTTCCACTCGATAATTTCTAGCTACAATACCCTTCATATTATTAATGGTTGTGCATTATTCAAACAGGCACGACCCAAGGGCGAGGGATTGACACCCTATCAAGGCAAGAAAAGATGTTTTGGTGAATACAAATGTCCTACATGCAAACGAAAGTGGATGAGCGGGAACAGCTGGGCTAACATGGGACAAATGTGTGTAAAATGTCACATCAACGTCTATCCACACAAGCAGAGACCGCTAGACAAACCTGACGGGCTTGACGTCTCAGATCAGGCGAAGGAACATCCACAACATTTGTGTGAAAAATGCAAGGCTCTTGGGTATTACTGTCGCAGGGCGCAGAATTAAGTCAGAAAAATATGTAAAAGTAATTAACTTGGTCGGGTAAAAGCCCACTGGTCTGACAAAGTATACTGGATAGCGCTGGCACTGTTTAGCTGGTGCATAAAATAACAAACATGCATTTTTGTGATACCCTAAATTATCAAGGTCGAGGTAATTCCGGATATCACAAAAACCGAATGACTGTTTTAAAATAACTCTTTTGACAATGATTTGTCGCACGAAATTAAAAACAACAAAGAAACACAGTAAAAACAATTTACAATGCACAACAACAGTATAGAAATATGAGACTCAATTATGTATTAAAGTTCCGATAAGTCTGCATTTTCCACAAAAAACATTGACACAAACGCCTTTCGTTCACGTTGTTAGTCCATGTTGCCTTTCCTGTTTTCATTCGTATATGTACGGTAAAGCTGCCGCTTGTTATAAAACTACATTCCGCTGATTCAACTAGCAGATAACAATGTTTTCTGTAGGTGGCGTGATTAAGAATACAGATACACTTTGTAACGGCTAACGTCCGGCTACAATTTTATACAATCTCATTCAAAGATGTATTACAGTCCGTTTGCACATGTCAGCTTTGTTTACATTTTTGTATCCAAATAATGAACTATATCTAAATGAAGTAATGAACAGCTATATATATTTTCCTGCTAGAGTAAAATAAACTATCAAGGTAGCACATTCAGGCTTTCTAAGAACACAGAATCTTAAACATTTTCTTCCATGAGCTATAAACTCCAATTTACGCATGCGCAGAGCGGACTGTAACGTTTCTTTAATTTCCAAGTCGGTTTGGAAAATAGTATGTTACATTATAAAATTAAGGATTTTTATACAGATCTTTTTCAGGCGAATTAATTAGAATATTCGTTATTTTTAAATGCAATTTTTACTAAAAGTATAAATAATTTTAAGTGGACGAAATCTGTTTAGTTTGAAAAGATTAACAGACTGTCTTTTATACTAAATTATAGTTTTAACGAAACTGACAGTCAAAACAAACTGAAATTGTTTTGAGAATATTATTTTTTTAAACGACGCGTATTTACGTTTAGAAGAAAAAAGAAGAAAAAAATATATCAAATTTAGATACATAGTTGGTGTATAAATTCAAAAATAGGGAGTGATTCCATTAAATAAGATTGCATAATTATAATATATGTTTTGATAATTATAATATATATTTTGATATATAAATTTTTAAAGTAGAAATATAATTTGTCAAATAGAGGGATAATTTTTGCCAGAGTGCAGTATTTGATTTTTAGACAAAAATAGGTCGAGAATATATATATTTCTAGTTCCATCAGATAATTATTTTAAATGTACCATAGTATAGAATTTATGAAAGATGTAATTATATGAGATATATTTTAGAACAGATTTAATATATACCACAGACCCTGCATACTTATTTTTAAATAACTTTAAAATCATTTTGTAAAACATATTTAGAAAAAATTATAAGAAATAATATAGAAAAACACGATTGTATAAATTAATTGGGTAGAAATAAAGTTTACATAATATTTCCAATATGGACAAATTGTAGTACAAATAGTACTGTAGTAGATTGTAATTTCAAAGGAGAATAAATTTATTTGTATACGATACTCAGTAGTTTGAAACTATATTTACTGTCGATGCAATGGAAGTGTTGATAAAATATTGCATGAATCATTTCCTCAAGTTGATCAATTCATACGAATTCAAATTTCATTTTACTTCCTGTGCGTTTCCTATTGGTCAATCGGTTCTGAAACGAGATCTAATTGGCTCATCTAAAAGTAACAGGAAGTTGATCAATTTTCTATCAAATGAATTGATCAACTTGAGGAAAGGAATTGGTGCAATATTTTATCAACACTTCCATTGCATCAACAGTAAATAATTGTTTGTAATAATTTAAATGAATGCAAATGGCAGTATAATTTAAGCTGTTGTTCTACATTTTTAAATCATAATATGGAAATAATTTATTGTCTTTGCATTCAATGTTTTTCTTTTCCGTGTTGGTCTGTAATTTTTGTCAGGTTGGTCTTCTCATATAGGACTCATGTCCTGCTGACCACACCCTAAATCATAATTTTAATATGTATAACCATTTTGTATTTTTATATATGGTTGTAAAATGTATAAACAAATTCCTATCCAATTACTCTTAATTGGAGGTTGCAATTTAAAAATGTAAAACTGCATGACTGGCTCCCAAACAAAATTTTTTTTCAATTTTTAAGGTAATATAAAGAGAAGGCATCCAATGACAAGTACAATTTTAAGTTTGAGTAGTAATGGCAGTCATAAAAGACTTGAAATGCATATCATATTTCCCAACATGGCACTTGCATTCATCTGTAAGTCTCAACAAGTACATTTAACACTGATCTGTTTATCACGCAGCCTGAAACTTACCATAAGTTAGCCGAGTCAGTGTAAGAATTTTGTGAGAAAAACTAAAACAGGAGGACGTCAAGTTCAAAGAAAGAACCCAGATCTGAATGGAATTTATTCAATTTCTCATTAAGCCGCAATGCGCCCCAGTGCACCCTACTTATTTTTTTACTTGTCTAACACACCAGACGATTTTAATCATCAACGGGAAATCTCTGCAGCTTAATGGCTTAAACGTCAAAATTTTGTGGATGTACCAAAAATATCCCAAATACAGAAGTGTAGGTTAGCATCCCCAATATTTCCTTTTGTAATTCGTAGGAATTGTGGGCTAGACTATATAAAACTGCAGTCATTGTGTCACTGTTTAGGAGATTGACTTTTTGTTAAAACTGCTCTCGGGATGCAGGAAATAACGTTTCTAAGTATCCAAGCTCTAGATGCTAAAATTTAGTTTGGATACCAAACTGTGAACGACTTGTATCCTGACTCTATGTTCCAAAATTTTAAATGTTAGGATGCTAAATGCTTGCAGTGGTTCCCCAACAGCTTTGAATGCTATGAGTCAGCCTTCTTGAAAAATATTTAATATGGTTATTTGATTTTCAACTTGCTGGTCTAGTTGTCGAGTCCTGTTGTTATTGTTATTGAGACATGTACAGATGTTTATGGTACAATAACCAGTATCCAGAAGTAGGATGGATACTGGATTCTCAGATGGGACACTAGAACTTTGAATCCTGGTATCACAGTGGAGTCCTGAAAAAAAAAATTCAGACCGCGGGGTCTGAATTTTTTTTTTCAGGACTCCACTGTGATATATAAACTATAGCATTTGAATAGCAATTAAGTCACTTGCAGCCAGGTTCACAGTGGCAGTAAAACAGGGTACATACATTTTTTTTCTGTGTTGGTGTAGTGTATTCAGGTGAATATGATATTTGTGGTGTTACTCTGAGTGTATATCCACACCGGGCGAGCTTGAAAAATATGCCCGGCCACGGTGGGATTCGAACCTACCACCTTTGGAATACTAGCCCAATGCTCTTTAAAAAAAATCATATTACTAGAATACATTTTGGTATCGAAGGAACTAGATTCTGTTCCGAAATATCACTTACTCGAACCGTCCTGACCGCGTAGCTCAGTTGGAAGAGCATTGGGCTAGTATTCCAAAGGTCGTAGGTTCGAATCCCACCGTGGCCGGGCATATTTTTCAAGCTCGCCCGGTGTGGATATACACTCAGAGTAACATCACAAATATCATATTCACCTGAGTACACTACACCAACACAGAAAAAATTCATATTAATAGAATACATTGGTATCGAAGGAACTAGATTCTGTTCCGAAATATCACTTACTCGAACCGTCCTGACCGCGTAGCTCAGTTGGAAGAGCATTGGGCTAGTATTCCAAAGGTCCTAGGTTCGAATCCCACCGTGGCCGGGCATATTTTTCAAGCTCGCCCGGTGTGGATATACACTCAGAGTAACACCACAAATATCAGGGTACATACATGTCAGAAAGAGTGAAATTCAAGGACTTTCAAGGACATTCAAGGCCATGTATCAGCAAATTCAAGGACTAAATACTGAAGAAGAAGGCGTTAGAAATCAGCAAAATCTGACGTTGAATTGTTCAAAACGTAACTTTATAATGAGGTCAGATATGAACATGCAAAATCAGTTCAACAAAATGTCCACCTTGAATGTCAAAAAATTTCAGAAAATATCCAAAAACTAAAGCAAGAAGAATTCAAGTACTTTCAAGGATTTAGCAAGCAAGAAGAACTAAAGCAAGAAGAATTCAAGGACATTCAAGGCCTTGAATTTTTGTTTTCAAATTCAAGGACATTCAAGGACTTTCAAGTTTTGTACGAACCCTGGTAAAAGGCTATGTTGGCCGTGCTATTTTGGTAAAAAATAGAAAAGCACGGCTACTTAGATAAAATGAACACGGCTTCATTATTTACATAAAGCCCTGTTCCATGTAGGTTCATAAAATAGAGTCGGTTGCTACTTATAACAGACACAATTTCCTCCAATTTCCCTTCATGCCCAACAGCCCAAGAGTTGTTAAAATAACTTATTTTAATGTCAGTGCAAAATATATGAGCGTATCCTCACCTTGTATTTGGTTGCAAAGCATAGAACAACCACAGGCATTGTCTATCAGGGTCTAGATGGGGGGGGGGGGGTCTGAAAATCAGTAAACAGTAAAATTTTTGGTATTTTAATGGTAAATCTTTGAAAAGTAATAAGTTCTTTGTATGTTTGCATGGCGATAAAATATATGATCGTTTTGTTTGTGGAAACACCACGTAAATTTATTACTGCAAAGCTTTCGATCCGTAAGCCCGGATCTTCATCAGTGCTAATAATATGTGAAAAGTGTTCTGAAACGATAAACAGTACCTTTTTCCTCACGCGTCACTGTAAATTTTTAGTGTTTTCACGACTGACGGTAACCGAAATTGAGTGAATCACGATATACCCCATCAACACCATGTATTGTTGGCAAGCATTTACAACAGGTCAATATAATTTTTGGTCATTCAAGCTAGGTAATTGGCATGTACACATAATGAAAATTCAGAAACACGCCCAAGATCTAAAAGACCCTGCTTGCTGTGTTGCCGTTAGATTTCTGAACGGCTATTATACCATAATTTTAATTAAATAGCAAAAAACTATTGCCGCCCCTCCTCGCAACTTGGTCATTTGCCTTTTGTCAAATCCTGGCTATCGGCCACATCTAGAGTCCAGAAACATCATCGCCCAACCACATTTTTACCCAAAGCATTCATTTCTGCAAAAATCCCACTCTGAACGACATGCAAACATCTTCGGCAAATTATTCCCTCACTGCATTCTGGTCATCAATTAAGAGATCTTCATAAAACAGCGGGTTCAACACAGCCTTGAAGTTTGGATTCTTGATCTGATGGTATACATCTCTAACAACTTCTTCTAATTTCCCATTTCTGTTACCGATGAAGAGGATATTTTGTAAGTATATAAACATAACTTAGTATCTATAGATACGACAGGTGAATTAGAACTATTTATAATAAACATTATTATATATTCATGTTTTTGCTCGCTACTCTGGTTTTTATACATAATTTAATTCGCTGGGAAAAGTATGCTGTCTTGGAGTGCCCACTAGTTACAATTGATTTCACAAACTCTGGCTAAAACTTTTCTGATGTTGGTTCGGCAAAGTTTACATGTACAGAGTTTTGACATGGAGGGCGGTACCAGGTGGCACGCCCAGCACTCCCACCTGGGACTCATGCCAAAGCCATGCAATGTTTCCACCTTGCCCAGGGGATAGCGCTGGGGCACAAAGAGTTAAACTGCGTTGCACCTTGATACGCCCTACTTTATTATTTTACTCTGTCTAACGCCAAACGATTTTCCTCGTCAGGGGGAGAGTGCTGCCACTCGAAGAATCAAGAGTAATAAAAGTTTACACTATTTAATATCAAAGAAAATATATCATTACCCAGCACTTCAATATTTCCTCGATCAACCGCAGGATGCAAGATTGGCGTTATAAATACCACCTTTTGAAATCCAACTGGGTAGGAAGTCGCAGGGAAAAATTGAAATACAAATGCTCGGCCTAATATGGAACCCAGTCTTAAAATAAAGTTCAACTTTTATACTTGGTTCTTTCGTGTCAAAATCAACAACTCTCGCTTCACCGTTTGAAAAAGTGCGTATATTTTCTTTTAGTTTTTGAAAATCCATCATTAGTTAATCATTTGCCATGTTTTAAACCTGAAATTCTAATAAAAAACATAATTTCCTTCCAACCGTTCGAAATTTCCTTATTTTTGAAAAAATTTCCTTGCAATAAAAATTATTGAATTTTACCTAATGGATGAGTTGCCGGTTTGCAAGCCCCTTTGTTTTGCGCGGCCAATTGCCCCCTGGTGATCCCATAATACATTGCATTTGCAAATAATACAATGTATTATGAGATCGCCAGGGTTCAATTGGCCGCGCAAAACAAAGGGGGTCTGCGAACCGGCAACTCATCAATTTAAAACTGATTTTATAGTAATTTATCTCGAATAACAGGGTATTTCTTGTTCTAGAAGGCACATAGACGTTGCACGAGTTGAATTATCAAAGGGGAGAGACAAAGAGTTTACCTAGATTAACACAAAGGAGAATAAGAAGAGGGGTCTGGGAGTCCTCCCCCAGAGAATTTTCAGATTTTGCATCTCGCAGACAAGATTTTCAGCATATTTTGAAGCGCATTTCCCTGGAAATTGCCGTATTCTTAGGATTTTGTAGAAATAAGGCAATTTCCTTCACATTTCCTTCAATCTTCCGAAATTTCCTTCAAATTTCCTTCAGATTCGAATTTCCTAATAATTTCCTTCAACTAGTTCAAATTTCCTTCAAAAAGGAAATTTCCTCCAAAATGGAAGCACTGGTCATGTGGCCACAAAATTTGCAAATTCCTTGCAAGAAGCTCTAACATTCCTTAGTTTCCCCCGTAAACTCCTTAAATTAATTAATAAATTAGATTATGTCAATTAATTAACATTTTTATTAAAAATAATCCAAATTTGGCAGGGCTGCAAAATTACCGCTGAAAAAGGAATTAATTACAATTACAATTACTTGCTTTCAATTACAATTACTTGCTTTTTTCCTATCACCTTCGGGACATTTCAACTGGTTTTTGTTTACCAAAACCTCGTTCTAATAACATGAAAAATAGTTTCATGTTATTTGCCCCGGAGGGGTAGCGGGCCGGCTTTAGGGGTTAGGGG